TCAGACACTTAACAGCTATCCAAGTGCCCCTAAATTTTCCTCTTAGTACTACTTCTGCATAAATTTTTCCTATAAATTTGGTATGTTGTATTTTTGTTTTTATTTGTCTCAAGATATTTTCTTAATTTTTTTTAATGTTTTATTTATTTTTGAGACAGAGAGAGACAGAGCATGAACGGGGGAGGGGCAGAGAGAGAGGGAGACACAGAATCGGAAGCAGGCTCCAGGCTCTGAGCCATCAGCCCAGAGCCCGACGTGGGGCTCGAACTCACGGACCGCGAGATCGTGACCTGAGCTGAAGTCGGCCACTTAACTGACTGAGCCACCCAGGCGCCCCATGTCTCAAGATATTTTCTAATATCTCTTATGATTTCTTTAATCTATTAGATTAAAAAAATTTTTTTTACTGTTTTTTATTTTATTTTTTGAGAGAGAGAGAGACAGAGAGCACGAGCAGGGGAGGGGCAGAGAGAGAGGGAGACACAGAACCAAAGTAGGCTCTAGGCTCTGAGCTGTCAGCACAGAGCCCAACATAGGTCTCGAACTCATGAACTATGAGATCATGACCTGAGCCAAAGTTGGTGCTCAACCAACTGAGCCATCCAGGTTCCCCTATCTATTAGATTTTTAAGTGTGTTTTAATTTCCACATATTTGTAACTTCTCCGTTTTGTCTTCTGCTATTGATTTCTACTTTTGTTCCATTGTGATTGGAAAAGATATTTCATCATCTTCATCTTTATAAATTTGGTGAAGTTTATTTTGTAACCTGATCTATTCTGAAGAATATTCTGTGTGCACTTGAGAAAAATTTGTATTTTTCTGCCATTGGGTGAAAATTTCTACAAATGTCTGTTTGGTCCATTTGGTCTGTGATATTGTTCAGTTTTGCTATTTCCTTACTGAATTTTTCTCCAGATCATCTCTCCATTATATAGAATGATGTACTGAAGACTCTCACTGTTGTGTTTCTATCTGTTTTTCAGTTCTATCAATGTTTATATCATTTAGAAGCCATGATGTTATGTGCATATATATTTATTAATATTGTATCTGGTCAGTTGATGCTTTTATCATGTTCTTTTTGTCTCTTGTAATAGTTTTTTACTTTAAAAGCTCTTTTGTGTCTTATGTAAGTATGGTCACCCTTTCTCTCTTTTGGTTATCATTTGAATGGAATACGTTTTCCCATTATTTTACTTTCGGCCTGTGTATACCTTTAGATCTAAAGTGAGTTTATTTTTAACAGCATATAGCAGGATCTTGTGTTTTATTCATTAAGCCAGTGTATGTCTTTCTGTGGAGAATTTAATCCATTGGGATTTAAAGTAATTTCTGTAGGGAAGAACTTAATTAGTATTTTGTTAATTATTATCTATTTGTCTTGGAACTGTTTTATCTCTTTTTTTCTTGCTTGCTTACATTCTGTGTGTTTTGTTTATATATTTTTAATTTTTGCAGTGACAGTCTTTAATTTCTTTCTCATTCCCTTTTGTGTATCACCTATAGGTATTTTATCTGTGGTTACCATGGGGGTTACATAGGCCATTTTAAACTGGTAACAATTTAACTTCAATCATATTTAAGAACTCTAGTCTTTATATTTTCTCCTCACAGTTTTGTTACTGGTTTTATTATATCTTTTTATATTGTGTATCCTTTAACAAAAATGTGGGTATTTTTGTGTTTAAATTCTATACAAGAATTAAATGTGATTTAATGTACCAACTTTATAGTAATGCAGGATTCTGTATTTGTGTATTTACCGTTACCAGAGAATTTCATCTTTTTTGTGTGCTTTCTAGTTTCTGTCTAATGTCCTTTCATTTTCACTTGAGTGACTCCTCTTAACATTTTTTGTATTGCATTGTAGATCTAATGGTCATAAATTTCCCTAGCTTTTTATTTATCTAGGAATGTCTTAATTTTGCCTTCATTTTTGAATGAAAGTTTTGCTGGATATAGTATTCTTGCTTGGTAGTTTTTTCTTTCAGCATTTTAAATATATCATTCCACTCCCTTTTAGCCTTCTAGGTATCTGCTGAGAAAACTACTGATAATCTTACGGGAGCTCCCTTGAATGTGGTGGGTTGCTTTTCTCTTGTTACTTTCAGAATTCCTTATCTGTGACCTTTGACACCTTGACCGTGTTTTTCAGTGTAGATCTCTTTGAGTTATTCTAGTTGGAGGTTTCTGAGCTTCTTGAATTTGTATTATCAGTTTTCACCCTCAAATTTAGGGAGTTTTGGCCATTATTCAAAGACTTTCTGCTCATTTTCTTTCTCTTCTATTCTTAGATTCCCATATTCATGTATTGGTCCTTTCAGCATTTTCTCATAAGTCCTTTGGGCTCTTTCCCCTTTTTTTCATTCTTTTTTTCTTTTTGCTCTTCTAACTCCATAATTTCAAATGACTTGTCTTCAAGTTCACTAAGTCTTTATTATGCTCAGTACAGACTGGTGCTGATGCCCTGTAGTGAAATTTTCATTTCAGTTACTCTTCAGATCCAAAATTTCTTTTGGTTCTGTTTTAGTTTCTATTTGTTAATATTCTTATTTTCTTCATGCATCACTTTTCTAATTTCATTTAGTTTTCTGTTTCTGTTCTCTATTACCTCATTGAACATCTGTATGTCAGTTATTTTGAATTGTTTAATGGATAATCCATAGATCCCTATTTCTTTAGGGTCAGTTTCTGGAGATTTATTTCTTTGGTGGAGCCATATTTCCCTGTTTCTTTGTATGTCTATTTCTGTTATTTTGAAATTTGGGCACTTGAAAAAACAGCCACCTTTCCCTGTCTATTCACAGTATATTTATACAGAAAAAGACCTTTATTATTCAACTCAGGTAGATACTCTAGCAACCTCTCAAACTTTTTCTAGAGATGCATTTTCACTGAGGTTGTTTGTGTAATCTCTTATCTGAAGAGTCTTGTCTGTTTCTACTTGGGAGCCCCCCCCCCTCGTCATCTGTCTTCCATATTATAGTTTTCATTTTATAAGCCATTGTTTTGGAGGTCCCCCCTGCTCTCTGTCTGTGCTACTATAATTTTTCTGGTGCTGTACCAAGCTGATAGGTTTAACTTGTTCTCATATGGCCTCCAGACATCCAACATGTACTACTTCCTTCAGGTCAGGTGAAACAGAAACCAGTGCCTCGGTCAGTACCCTGAAAAGCCATAATGTTGCATGAATGTTCCACTCTTCTCTTTCCTTTTTAAAGGAGAAGCCACAAGTGAGGAATTTTGATTGTGCCATACTGTGTTGGGAGGGGTTTGGGGTATGGTAGGTAAGTGCAACAGACTTTCTTACTCACTACAATGCATCTCTTCTTGGCCTCACTATTGCTTGGGGTCCTATACTTCTTGACTGGTTTCTGGAATTCTGACAAAGGAAGTTTGGTCCATCGCATGAGAGAAGGAGGGTGTTGGGCTTCCAATTCTACCATCTTGCTGATGTCACCACACTAGTATTTAATTTAAGGACTTCTATCCAGTGACCATACTGTGTTCTAAGCCAATTGTATTTATTTATGCTTTTTTCCTTTTTCTGTTTTTCTCCATGAAATGTTCTTTGCCTTCATCTTAACTATTTTGAATGTACTAATTAATTACTCAAAAGACCTATTTGAAGGTTTTCCTTAAAAACTTTTTTAAAATTGAGAGTGCACAGTTACTTTAATTTGTTTTTCTATTTGTTTAATATGTTTTGTTCACAGATTTTAAACAGCTTTAGAGTAATATATTGTAATTGTATATTTTGACCTCTCTACATGTATAACTAATACAGTGCCATACTTGTTGATGAAAATTATCCTTTTATCCTATAAAAAGCATCAAGATTTGTTAATTGAGGGTGCCTGACTGGCTCAGTCGGTTAAGCTTCTGACTCTTGATTTCGGCTAAGGTCATAATCTCTCCTGTTCATGGGATCAAGCCCCACGTTGGGCTCTGCGCTGATGGTGCAGAGCCTGCTTGGGATTCTCTCTCTCCTCTCCTTGTGCACTCTCTCTCTCTCTCTCTCTCTCACTCAAAATAAATAAACATTTTAAAAAAATTAAAAAGAAAATATTTGTTGATTGAAAAGAGTGATTAATAGCATGTACTTGATGTAATATTAAGCACTTCAATATTTAATTTGTTTTAATACTTATTGTATTTAACTAAGTCTTGAGAGTTATTTGTATTTTTCATTTAAGAAGTAAATAATTATAGTGTAATTACTGATGGAGGCCCAAGTAATGCTTATTAACATGTATAAGAATTCCATGTCTATATTCCCTGTTTTTGGGGGTAAAGGATGAAATTAGTTGATACTTAAGTTTAGAACTGAGACATCTTTTTATGAAGTTACATGTCACCTAGTGGCAAGTATTTATTTTTTAAACATTAACTATAAAAATAATTTCTATTTGAGAATTTTGATTTGTGACCTTAGGCACCACTTAATTGGTAACCACCTATTTTGGGAAGGAATACATTTGTACCTTGTTTGTTGAGTTTCTGTTGGTAATTTGGTGCCTGCTATGCATGGTATATAGTAGGCATTCACTAGATATTTATTAAATGAGTATGTCTAGTTATTCTTTAGATTCATATTATTGATATTTATCAGCACGTAAACCGTTTTCACATCATTTTATTTACTTATCTTAAAAACTGAGGTATAGGAATTATTATATTAATCTTTCACATAATAAGCAGTTGTCTCAACAGATTAATTTGTTTAAGGCACAGCTAACAAGTGGTAATGCCAAGATTCAAATTCTTGTCTCATGTAGTAATATTTTCTACTATATTATGGAAGTAACAGATAATATGTTGAGAAACCACATCAGGGTTTTGTTTTTTTTTAATATTAAGTTGGTTTCAGGTGCACAACATAATAATTCAACACTTATATACATTATGAAATGATCACAGTAGGTCTAGTTAAGGTCTTATTTTTAAAGACTCCTTTTGTATTGGGTTTTATTTTACCTGGGTGTTTTTCTCCCCCAGAATCCACCAAACCCACCTGTATCACCAGGAAAGTCTGTGGTTGACGTCAACAGCAATAATAACAATGTGCCATACAGGTGAGAATTGTAAACAATCTGTCAGATTTTTAACAGAACAAGGTTCTGATTCTCTTTATTTTATAAGAATGTTTTGGAGTATATTTCTAGTTATTTTGTAGAGAAGTTTAGTATCCTAAATTAAATAGATTTTTTGTTTGTTTATTTGTTTTGTTTTGCTATAATTATTCATTTGTGGTTGGTTACTGGCTTTGCTAATTTATTATAAGGCTTTTCTTTGGTCATTTAAGATTTAACAACTTGTGTTAAATAGAATTCTTTCAAAGTAACTGAGAAATGCTTTGATTAGGGGTAATAAGAACAAATGTCTACAAATACTAGGATATACGTTTGGTATTTTGGTAAAAATGTTAAGGACATTAGAATCTAAGAGAAAGACTCTTCCTTAATGCCATAGACCCCAGCGTGCTGAAATCTTTGTGCCATCTTGGCCTCAGCATATTCATTTGCACTTTAGTGCTATAGTACCCAAATCTAGTCGCCCTTTTCCCCCTACGGACCACTGCTTTCTCTATTCATATATTGATGTCCTCCGGAATGGCATTTGCATTGACTATTTGTGTGTATATATATATGTATATTTTGTAGAAATGCAGGCACAGTGAGACAGATGCTGGAGTCCAAAAGGAATGTAAGTGAGAGTGCACCAACATCCTTTCCAACCCCTGTGAATACAGGTAATATTTTTAAACAACAAAATAACATTTTCTTAGGAATTTTATAAAGGCTTTAGTTCTCTGTTCTTACATTATTTTGAGACTGAAATGATCTAAGGAACTGAGCATATTTATCTAAGCTTAAATAATGAGTACAACATTTTATTTAAAAATCAGGATTACAGATATGCAAGAAAATATAGGAATTCAAGTCTCTAGTGCGTCTCAAACTTTCTGGTTTCCATATCCCTGTATAATCTTAAAATATTATTAAGAATCCCAAAGAACTTTTGTTTTTGTGGCTTATAGTAATTGATATTTACTTGGAGTAGAAATTAAAATACAAACTTTTACATGTTTATTCATTTAAAAATAATAACAAACCTGTATCATGTAAACACAAATAACATGGTTTTAAAAAAAATTTTTTTTTAGTGTTTATTTATTTTTGAGAGAGACACAGCATGAGTGGGGGAGGAGCAGAGAGAGGGAGACACAGAATCTGAAACAGGCTTCAGACTTTGAGCTGTCAGCACAGAGACTGATGAGGGGCTCGAACCCACGAACCATGAGATCATGACCTGAGCTGAGGTCGTATGCTTAACTGAGCCACCCAGGCACCCCACAGATAATGTTGTAACGAAAAAATAACTATTTCCCAAGCTTAAAGCAATTAGTGGAAGTGTTGCTGTCTTAGAGTTTTACAAATCTGTCTTATACTTAAAACATTAAGACAGTTGAAGATAGCTAGATTCTTCTATCTGTCTCTGCATCCATTCTCTTGCAATTTGTTGTTTTGGTGGAAGTATTTGAATAAAGTTCAGTCTCATACAAATATGTATTTGGAAAAGGGCTAGCCATTTTAGATGATTTGTGAATATTGTTTGACACAGTCAAGTAGTTTATTAATGGTTAGTTGCAAAGTAGAATGTGAAACCATATCAATGAACTTTTCTAAGTTTTTCAGTAAAATCTATTTGTCTGTCTTGGATGGATCTTTTACGAATATCATTCATCAATCATTTGGAAAATACTCACTGAGTTATGTAAGGCTTCTATTATTGACACCTCAATAAACTTTAAAAAGCACATTGATTCTGGAGCGTCCAAGTAGCTCAGTCGGTTAAGCGTCTCACAGTTCATGAATGTGAGCCCCGTGTCAGGCTCTGCACTGACAGTTCGGAGCCTGGGGCCTGCTTCAGATTCGTGTCTCCCTCCCTCTCTCTCTCTCTCTCTCTCTCTCTGCCCCCTCCCTCTTGTGCTCTCTCTCAAAACTAAATACATGTTTAAAAAAAAAAAAACTTAAAAAAAAATAAATATCACATTGATTTTTGTCAGAAATGTCTTTGAAGATTTGGGAAGCTGTCATGCTCTTAGTGGCAGATACATGTTTTTCCAGAGTTCTAATTTTTTTTTTTTGAAAACTCGAATTGTATTATTGCCAATAAATACTATAGTTGTTTTCTTTGACTGCCAAGGTTTATTTTCAAGAAAAGGTTTGTTGGGGCACCTGGGTAGCTCAATTGGTTAAGCATCCAACTCTTGATCTCAGCTCAGGTCTTGGTCTCAGGGTCATGAGTTCAGGCCCCGCTTTGGGCTCCAAGCTGGGTGTGGAGCCTACTTAAAGAAAAAAGAGAGAAAGAAAGAGAGAGAGAGGGAGAGAAAGAGAGAGAAAGAGACAGAGAAAGTAAGAAGAAAGAAAGAAAGAAAGAAAGAAAGAAAGAAAGAAAGGAAGGAAGGAAGGAAGGAAGGAAGGAAGGAAGAAAGAAAGAAAGAAAATTTGTTAAATACCCAGTGTGAATAATCACAGTATGTCTGTAAGTCATTCTTCCAACTAAAAATGGTCTTCTGTGAAAAAGGTGGTTAGCTTAGTTTTATAACTCAAACAGTAGTACAAGCATTTTGCTTTGAGCCAAACACGCTACTTTGGCATGCAGTGGTAATGCTTGTTGTAGATTTCCTATTTTTTCACGCAGAATACTAAGACCTGTACTCAAGGGCTGAGATTTAATAATAGTTTCTACTACTTCATCATGGACATTCTTGAGTGAAACTGACTTTGTTTTTTACTGTGAACATTTGGGGGTAAAGAATGTATTGACAGTTTGGTACCACTCAATACCTTGATTTTTGTACTGAGGCATCAAGAAGTTTTACTCACCATTGCTTTTGCTCCATCAGTGCAGATATTTACATGGTGAAAAAAATCAAGTAATGTCTTACTGTTATGAAAATAGTTTTGATATTACCAGCTCCCTGAGAGGGTCTCAATAATCTGCACGTGTTCCCCTGGATAACACTTTGAGAATTGCTACTCTAGTGTGCCTATTGTTTTGGAAACAGTACAGATCAGTGAGAAAGAAGCTTGGTCATCAGTTCGAAACCTGTTCAAATAAAAATAAAGATAAATAGGGGCGACTGGGTGGCTCATTCGGTTGAGCGTCCAACTTCGGCTCAGGTCATGATCTCGCAGTTCGTGAGTTTGAGCCCCGTGTCAGGCTCTGTGCTGACAGCTCAGAGCCTGGAGCCTACTTCAGATTCTGTGTCTCCCTCTCTCTCTGCCCCTTCCCTGCTCATGCTCTGTCTCTGTCTGTCAAAAATGAATAAATGTTAAAAAAAAAAAAAAAAAAGATAAATAGTTGAGCCAAAATTACTATAAAACTTCAGTGACCAGCATTTTGATTTTCTCTGGTTTTGGTATTAACTCCCTTATTTCTTAATTCATCTCCCATCTTCAGTGTGTTATGTCCTATATTGTATAATGTCATTAGAGTTTCAGTAGAGGCAGCTTCCCCTTCTTGGTTCCTCCCAGGTAATTCAGTAAAACTTAATCCACAGAGGTTTCACACATGGTCCGAATGATAAAATACCATGGCCAAGCTTCCTTTATTCATTAATAGTGATGATTCTAACTAGATTGTCTATTTGAGTTTACATATTGTCATTGTCCTAAGGCATTTATATTTTTAGTGTAGTTTCAAAATTATCTGTATAGCTTCACCAAGTTCAGTGTTTTTTAGTCATTTTACCAGTTACTCTGAAATGACGATAGTAATTTTCAGGCACTGTTTTGATACTGAGAGATTAGTCTTCCATATTAGTCATAAGCTGTGTGCCAAAAATAGATGCAAAAATGTTTCTATAAATTTAATTCTAAGAATTTCCAAAATCTAAGGGGCCCCTGTGTGGCTCATTCAGTTGAGAGTCTGATTCCTGATTTCTGCTCACGTCATTGTCTTGCGGTTCATGAGTTCAAGCCTCACTGCATTGGGCTCTGTGCTGACGGTGCTGATCCTGCTTGGGATTCTCACTCTCCCTCTCTCTGCCCTTCCCTGGCTTGCTTTCTGTCTGTCTGTCTGTCTGTCTGTCTCTCTCTCTCAAAATAAATAAAGTTTAAAAAAGACTTCCAAAATTTAAGTCTTGAAGAAATTGTATTATGAAAGACTTTACTGTAGCAATTGCAGTGCATTAAATTTGTATTGTATTGTATTATCCTAGCTGGTAAATGAAGACAGCCATTTAAACTGAGACTTCTTTTTTCTTTCTATAGTATCTTCAACCAATCTTGTCACTCCTCCAACAGTTGTCAGTAGTCAACCTAAGTTGCAGACTCCAGTTACTTCGGGTTCTCTGACAGCAACATCAGTTCTTCCTGCACCCAACACAGCTACAGTAGTTGCTACTACTCAGGTGCCTAGTGGAAATCCCCAACCTACAATCTCTTTACAACCTTTACCAGTGATTTTGCATGTACCTGTTGCGGTATCCTCCCAGCCTCAACTCCTACAGAGCCATCCAGGGACTTTAGTGACCAATCAACCGTCTGGCAACGTTGAGTTCATTTCTGTACAAAGCCCACCTACTGTGAGTGGTCTCACCAAAAATCCAGTATCCTTGCCAGCCTTGCCAAACCCCTCTAAACCAAACAATGTTCCTTCTGTGGCCAGTCCTAGTATTCAAAGGAACTCTCCTGCCAGTGCTGCAACCTTAGGAACAACACTTGCTGTACAGGCTGTTCCAACAGCACACTCTATTGTACAAGCCACAAGGACTTCTTTACCTACAGTAGGCCCATCGGGACTCTATAGTCCATCAAATAATCGAGGTCCTATACAGATGAAAATTCCAATTTCTGCTTTTAGTACTTCGTCTCCTGCAGAACAGAGCAGCACTACTACCCCAAGAATTGGTAAGTCACTATATAGGCTAACTAATAGAAATACAAGCATGTTAATGGCCTTTAGATAATTGAATATTTGTGTTTGTGGAAGTGCTATCTTTATTTGAAGAAGAAAGTAAATAGAATACCCTGGAGATTACTTTTAGTAAATTTTTAGCTACCTAAGAAATGATGTTGTTAAAATGGTATTTGAGATACAGTTTATTTTGAATGAAAAGTTAACATTTGTAATGTAGCTTTTAGTAATTTTTCCTAATCTGGGTGAAATTTTTCCTTTAGGCTTTGAGGCAAGCATTATGAATTTCTTTTATTATGCGTTTGGTAGGAATATCTGAATAGAACAAATTTATTTTAAAGTATCTAATTTACAGAATATATGCATATAAGAGGAAATAACAAACAACATATCTTCCCTACCCATGTGGAAAAATCCTTTGTGCATTCATCACTCCGGTCTTCTAAATTTGAACAATTTAAAAATAGGTTCTTCTCTCTAATTTATTATAAAATGTTTGACTGCTTCTTGTTTTATCTTTTATATATTTCCCCTGTGACATAGTATATGATTATGTTTGTATATGTCTGTATACTCTCCAGAATTGCAAAAAGGAGAAATGGATTTTACCTGTATTTAAAATCTGTAAAACTTGGGGCGCCTGGGTGGCGCAGTCGGTTAAGCGTCCGACTTCAGCCAGGTCACGATCTCGCGGTCCGTGAGTTCGAGCCCCGCGTCAGGCTCTGGGCGGATGGCTCAGAGCCTGGAGCCTGTTTCCGATTCTGTGTCTCCCTCTCTCTCTGCCCCTCCCCCGTTCATGCTCTGTCTCTCTCTGTCCCAAAAATAAATAAACGTTGAAAAAAAAAATAAATAAAATAAATAAAATAAAATCTGTAAAACTCTATGTCTTCCTTGTCTTTAGAAAGCACACATTTTGTATGCTTTATTGAACTTACTTATTCTTCATTTCTGGCCTCACATTTATTTCCACTATTGTAAAGTGGCTAAATGGGTAGGCATAATGTGTATAGTGAAATTGTTGTAATATCTCTTATTGATATAGTGACCATGAAATATAAGAAACATTCTAAAATACAAAATTACTTTTGTAAGTGAGATATACAAGCCTTTTGTTTTCTTTAATTTCCCATGTAGCCATTAGTAGTATATTTGCCCTTCAAGTATATTTACTCATATAAATAGTGATTGCATTTTGTATTTCACAAGGCTGTTGAGAGAATAAATGAGTGGCTGATCAGAGTTAACAGTGGACTGGAGCTAAATATCAGCTTCATACAAATTTACATCTGGGATATAAGAAGAAATCTGAAATTTTATATAAAAATGCAATTATTAATATGAGTATTTAAAATGTAAATGCTTGCATAGTACAGTAACAGTATTTGTTAGCCATATCTGCTACCACTTTATTCTTTAGACACTCTAATCCATGTTTGCAGCACTGAAGGATACTTGCTTTTTAAATGAGGTCAGTGAACAAGATTTTAAGGAGGTTACTTCATTTTTCTTTAACTTCTTTTTTTCTAATCCTTAGTATTTTTTAATATGTCAGGTAGAAGGTGATTTCTCCTAGACATTGTTTTATGTGATTTTTGAGTTTTTCCACTTTATGAAAGATTGAGCCTAAGTTGACACTTTTTAATTCATGGTCACAAAATAAGACAAATCCTTAAATATAGAAGTTTTCCTAAAAGACCATGGCCTGAAAAGAAATAAATAACTTAAAAGATATTGTTTAGTTTTGTGAATGCTCATACCCTAAATACTTCTACAGGTATCAGAGTTATAATTTAATTATTCTGTTTTCTTAAAATATTTATGAACATTTGTTGACACAAAGGGTATATGTTTCCCAAAATTACCTAGCTAAGGTATTCTATTAGTCATAGTGTCAGTTTGTTTCATATTCATTTAATGACTTGACTGTTCTTAATTGTTTTGTATGTAAAACTAATAATTTTCACAATCATTTTTAATCAGTACATCATTCTACTTATGTGATAATATACATTTATACTTACACTTAAAATTAATTTTTTAACATATTTATTTAACACATTTTATGTACTTTATTGTATAAATTATTTTAAGGCGATCATTGTTTCAAGTTCTATTTAGAGTGCTTACCTACATTTGAAAGTAACTTATTGGATATTAACCATAAATGTGAATGATAAGCTTTCTTTGCATACTGTTCATAATGTTAATTAGAATGAGATCTGATGTGGCACGCCTGGGTGGCTCAGTCAGTTAAGCGTCCGACTTCAGCTCAGGTCATGATCTGACGGTTGGTGGGTTCAAGCGCCGCATCAGGCTCTGTGCTGACAGCTCAGAGCCTGGAGCCTGCTTCAGATTCTACATCTCCTTCTCTCTCTGCCCTCCCCCACTTGCTCTCTGTCTCCCTCTGTCTCAAAAATACATAAACATTAAAAAAACAAATGAATGACATCCGATGCAATGATATATTTTTTTATCATGCAAAATTTTAGAGGTGCCATCAATGACATTAAAGTAGGCCTTTAGCTATTTAGGCTTCCCAAAACCTAAACTGAAGCCATATGGCAAATTTTGGCTGAATATGAAGGTTGAAGCCAACTTTTAATACATTTGTAGTATGCTAAATATATTAGTTCTATAATTAAAACATTTTAAGTCTTATACTTATGTAGGTATTATTGACTTAATGAGAACATAAGCTATCCAACTAGAATGCATGAATTTGCATTTTATTATAGTTCATGTCCCCTTATGTATTAAGTCAGTATTTTCTGTTTCTATAGTAAAGTAAAAATCATCCTAAAGACTGCTAGGAGATTTAGGGTATAAGTTGTAGTTAATATTATTTATTCATGAAATATTGAATACCTATAACTCTTCTAAAATCCTGCAGGCACACAGAAATGTACAAAATAGTTCCTATTCTCACCAAACTCACAATTAAATAGGGAACCTTGCCATTAAATAAGTAATTAACTATAAATGTGATGAATGTTAAGATATGAGGTTCCTGTGAGAGGATGTGGGAGATCTGGAAAAGGTATGTGATAATATATGGAAAGGTGATAGGCAGAGGAATTAAAGGATTTTTGCAGAGGAGTGTGACATCCCTGAACACTGGCTGCAATAAGAAGAATGCTTTGGCGAGGATAAAAGTAGGGTTAGAGAGACCAGTTAGGAAGCTGTGGTAGTAATTCAGATGAGAGATGGTGTTGTGAAAATGATTTAAAAGTTTTGCATTCAATTCATTTCAATACACCAAATATCCAGCACCTAATAAGGAATACTACTAATTGGCACTTCTGTAAAAACCCTTTTATGACTTCAGTAAAAATACAGTGTTGGTTAAATATGACATCATCTTTTAAGAATAGTAAAATAGAGAGGCTTCCCAAATGATAGAAAGATTTTAAGGTACAATTTCTAATTTCTCACCCTGACCAGTTTTATTGATAGATTTATAGTCATCTGAAGTAGATATTATAAGTGAAATGGTAAACTGTTACATTAAGAATCAAAAAAGTCTACAATAAAGGCACAGGGAATATTAATTAAAAACCTAGATTAAGGAAGATTATTACAGTTATGGGAATAAAATCCTTCTAAGCCCAAATGAATATATTCTAACATTATATATAAAAAACTTTGGTGGTAAATCACTGATGTTTTGTAATGTCATCAGTGTATATTAATACTCGGCCATGTAGGATCAGTAAAATGGAATTTGTTTTTTACTAAGTAATATTTCAGGAACTTCACAGTCCAGAAAAGATGCTGATGTATTATAAATGAAGTACTTTTCAGATATTTTTTTTAAAAAGTAAGGAATATATTAATATATTCTTCCTACAAGAAAACTAAGATAATTTAAAAAGGGTAGGGAGAAATTATAAGGGCCTCCTTTTTACTTCTGTAGCCTGGAAAACCCTCTTTTAATAGGTAGATGTTTATCCAAAATTTTTTGACATACAGGTGTGTGTGTGTGTGTGTGTGTGTATGTGTGTATTTTATATATAATGAAATACATAGTAGTGTTTCCTTTTTGCATAAATAATTTATATGTGTTCTGATGATTTGAAATGAAAGAATTCCCATATTTTAACCAAGAATATTACTATCTACAGAAAGCAAGGATAAGAATTTTTCAGCATTGGAAATTGACCACATTACCCAAGAGGAAAAGCTAAATAATTACCTCAGTAGATGCTAAAGACATTTGATAAAGTTTAATACCTTCTCTTTAGAAGTTGAGTCAGAAAACCATACTTGATTGATTTTCTCTGCTGTTCTAGAAGTAACTTTTGTGTGTATGTATGCATGTGTATCACAAACCCAATGTAAGTTAATTGAAAAATGACTAAAGAAAAATCTGATTTAACTACTGAGATTATGCATGTAAATTTTCTCAGAATCCTCGTGTAATGATTTTGCTAATGAATTTATTATACTTTTTGCCATGTCATTAAATCTTTTTCTCCAAAGATATATAGTATGGAAAAATTGTATTTTATTTAACCATTTACTTATGTGAGGATGTTTAAGTTGTACGTACCCTAAATTATTTCCAAAGATATTCCCTAGGATAGAATTAAATATTCTGGGCAATGGGTATGTGAAAATTTTTTCTCTATTGTAAATTTGCTCTTTTGAAAGTTACTGTAGCAGTGGTCTATGAGAGAGTTCATTTGCATATATGACATGTTGACAGAAAAAAAAAATAATTGGAGAAAGTTACATGAATTGTTGCATATAAAACAACCAACCCTTTTACGTTCTGTAGGTGCTTTTAAAATGGCTTTTTTTTTTTTGACTCCTCAGAAAACCAGACAAACAAAACAATAGATGCTTCTGTTAATAAGAAAGCAGCTGATAGCACATCACAGGTAAGATTTTTTCCTTCTATTTCAAAGTAAAATTCCAGTTATAGTCCTCAGGGATAATGGATTTCCATCAATTTTTTTTTTAATGTTTATTTATTTTTTGAGACAGAGAGAGACAGAGCATGAACGGGGAGGGTCAGAGAGAGGGAGACACAGAATCTGAAACAGGCTCCGTGCTCCGAGCTGTCAGCACAGAGCCTGACGTGGGGCTTGAACTCACGGACCGCGAGATCATGACCTGAGTGGAAGTCGGCCGCTTAACCGACTGAGCCACCCAGGAGCCCCTCCATCAATATTTTTTAATACAATGAAAATTATTCTAAGTTAATCATACTTTTCAGACCTAGAATTTCTGTTTTTGTATTTCAGTTTCTACTTTTGAGATTGCTTACTTGTGCATTCATTAATATTGTATTTTCCTTCATTTCTTTGAACTTTTTTTTTTTTTAGAGAAGGGGGAGGGCAAAGAGGGAGGGAGGGGAGAGAGAGATTCCCAAGCAGGCTCCACACTCAGCACAGAGCTTGATGTGGGGCTTGATCTCACAACTCTGAGATCATGACCTGAGCCAAAATCAAGAGCTGGTTGCTCAACCAACTGAGCCACCCAGCAACCCCTCTTTCAACCTATTTTTTAAAGCTGCTTTTAAGCCTTTGCTGAATTCAACATCTGGTTCTATTCTACTTGGACTTATTTTCTGTTGACTGTCTTTTGTCTTTAGTTGGGTTCTTTTTTACTGGGCTTTGCATGGTTAGTAATTTTTGATAAATTTAAAATTTAGAAAATTTTGAAAAGTGGACCTTATAAAATACACTGCAGCAAGTGGATTCTGTTACATTCTTTAAGGATTTAAGAACTTTTAGTTTTGTATTTTAGATTGTGGTGTGTGTTGACAAGTCATTTTCAATGAAGTCATCATCATAGAAAGATTTAGAATTACATCATTACCTTCGGATTGGGCCTGAAGTTTTTAATGTCAAGGCATTGTTTCCTTTAATTTTGTGAAGTCTGAGTTTTGCAGTTTTTAAAAACCTTAATCATTTGGAGCTGATCTCAGTATGGTATAAAGTAATTATGATTAGCATTTATTACACAGCACGTGTTATGCCTAGTGTTAAGCTCTTTCTATGCATATTTGGATTAGTCCTCATAACAGATCGCGTATCCATACTTTGGAAATTGAGGATATTACCTTTTAACATAAATTTACATAGCTAATATGTGTTGGAACTAAAAGATGCCATCGGTCTTTTTGACTCAAAGATACTGGTTCTTTAGGTCTGTGTTGTACTACTTTCCTTTTTTGTTGCTATTGTGGAGTTAAAAAAAATTGTTTTAATTGCATTTCTAATGATTTGGGACAATGGGTTGACTTTGGTCAAATTGGATGTCAGTTAATAGTATAGCACACCATATCTTATCCTACCATGTAAAATTTTTAGGGAAGAAACATAGGTCATTTTGTGTAACTTAATTCTAGCTTTGAAGTTGCTTTTGGCACTTTGGTGAATTAATATTGGTATTAATATTAGTGTAGTAAATAATATTAATGTAATGTTTGTAGAATTCATCAACATTTTAAATGTTGGAAAATATAGTGTTTGTGTTTAATCACTTACCAGTTAAAGTACCTAATCACTTTAATAGCTCTATGCAATTGACAGATTTAGAGAAAAAAAAAAAACAACTTGTAGAATTTCTTGTGAGAATGTTTCACAATTATTTTTTATATGACACATGTTATGAGTATTCGGGGATCATTTATCTGACAAACTCTTTTTTTTTCAGGTAGTGCCTTTTAGGGGGGGGTCCAAATTGAACCAGGCTACTCATTTATTCTTGTTGCCCCTTAGTATTTTAGTTTTCCTCTATGTCTTCTAGAGTTTCCTTTGCAAAATACAGAAATTTTGTTTTTCAGAGTGGAAAAGCCACAGGCAGTGATTCGGGTGGTGTCATTGATCTCACAATGGATGATGAAGAGAGTGGAGCTTCACAAGGTACTTATAAGTAATGGTACCAGTACCAAGGAATGCTTTGTAGCATTTTTTTCTCTTAATTCAGTATGATAATCAGTGAAGACAGATATCTACAGCATTATGCTTGATATATTTGTATCTATGTTAGAGAGTTTTTTATATTAGAATTTAAAAATTGAAATCTAATCTTGATGAATATGAACAAAGCATAGAGAAAAACAGCAGTTAAGAGACTGCTTAACCTCTAGCACACTCCTCTTTTTATATCTTATTTCACTTGATCTTTGCGGTAACCGTATAATGCCTATTTTATAGTTGAGAGTAGATTCAAAGAGAACAAGTCAGAGTCAATTAGGGAGCTGGGGATCAAACCCATGTCCTCTGACTCTAAATTAAGTGTTCTTTCTGCATATGTATGTGTGTGCACACATGCACATTCAGGTGCCCTTTAATGTAGGTACTATCACGTGTGTATACATTTAATTCTGGTTATTTGAATTAATTTTCTTTATTTAGTATTATATAAACAAAAATGAAGGTGATGTTAAAAACCTGCACACCAAATTCTTCAATATTATTTTGAGTTACAGTGTTTAGAAATTACAACCAATTGGGGCGCCTGGGTGGTGCAGTCGGTTAAGCGTCCGACTTCAGCCAGGTCACGATCTCGCGGTCCGTGAGTTCGAGCCCCGCGTCAGGCTCTGGGCTGATGGCTCAGAGCCTGGAGCCTGTTTCCGATTCTGTGTCTCCCTTTCTCTCTGCCCCTTCCCCGTTAATGCTCTGTCTCTCTCTGTCCCAAAAATAAATAAACGTTGAAAAAAAAAAATTAAAAAAAAAAAAAAAAAAGAAATTACAACCAATATTCTTAGTTATTCTTCTCCAATGTTAATAGGTAATCTGAATAAAAAGTTCAGTAATTAAACATACTTGGAGAAATGCTGAATGAAACAAAATTGTATGTTTGTTTTTCCTTTTATACAGACTTCTCTGAGCTTTTCTATGCTAATCTATAATTTTTCCAAGAGAAATTCAAGATATAAAGTATTTCTCAAACTTACTTGCACAACTATTCACAGACATATCTGCGAAACTGTGTGGTGATAATTATATAATGCATATGGAAAAACTAAGATAAGGTAGTCGGCTAATTGTTATGTTAAAGACATTAAATTTAAAAATCACCTAAAGTTTAAATATTTTAGGGAATAAGATTCATTGGTTTTAGGAAAACAAGCTGATTATGTGATAGGAAGTCAATTTTTTTGTATAACTGATGTAAAATTGGAAGATTTATGCCATCATTTGTCAGAATTGAATTCATACCACTATGATTATTGTTTACATAAAAGGTTTCAAATTATTTGCATTGATTTTTCTTTTTTTTTATTTTTATAGACAAGTCTAAATATAATGAATCCCTAGAGGACAAAATAAATACTTGTTATTTTTTAGAGGACACAGTTAGGGCTGATTCTAAAAGTTTTCAGTGCTCTGACTGCTCCCTTTCTAGCATCCCTGCCTCATGGGGCCTTTTCCTATGGCCCCAGCTTTGCACCTTCAATTTTTCCATTGTACCGTCCTCCCTCTATCAGGACCCAATTAACATAGCTACAGCCTTAAATTTTATTTACATTTTAGTGCAGAATTCCTTAGGACAGAAATCAATGGGGATCATTTTGGATAGAGGGCTTTTGGTTATACTCTTTACATTATGCCATATAGTGGTTACCTAGTATTTAAGGCTTGTTCTGAGATGCAAACATTTATTCCATAGGCTATATAAGACTTTTTTTGAGATTAGACACTATGTGTATCTTATTTTAAAGACTGGGTAGTGTAAATAAGCAACCATCTGTCTTATCAAACAAAAGAACCTAAACAACAGTAATTGGAGTTCAAGATTGCTGGTGAAAAGCTCATTGATTTATAGGTATTTGTTTAGGAGATTGTCCTTGATAATAGATACATAGATATATATGAATTAGGAAATGAAATTACTCTGATTGACATGATATTGTATTGAGTTCAAAAATAGTATTCATTCATAAGCAAATGTAAGATTATATCTCTGTAAATGTGAATTAGAAGATGTGATAGAACCAACAGTGAATTATTTAAGGTTGTGATGTGGTGTTTCAACCTAGCAAATATACACATAATTGGAAATAAATTGTTTTCTTAGTGGTAATTGTAACTGAGGGGCAAGCAAACACAAAATTCACAAATACGAGAAGAACCTGTATTTCTGATTTTTTTTTTCTATCAGTAATCACAATGTCTCACTTTTAATTAATAGACCCGAAAAAGCTAAATCATACCCCTGTGTCAACCGTGGGTTCTTCTCAGCCTGTGTCTCGACCATTGCAACCCATCCAGCCAGCACCACCTCTTCAACCATCTGGGGTGCCAACAAGTGGACCATCACAGACAACCATACATTTACTACCTACAGGTAGACTTGCTGAATCATTGAGTTGAAGCTTTTAGTTTTGCCTCCAGTGAAATACGACTATGGAATTAAGTGGAAAGAATAGACAGCAGATTAAGGATAATTTTCTGTTATTTTGAAGACAGTGCATCTTTTTGAATGGAGTGTAACTTAGTTTTGCTGACCATCTTAAGTAATGGCACTGATACGGAGTGGTTATAAAGAAGAAAAATTGTATATGTCTTTGTCATCTGCCACTGTAAGCAGAAGAAATGAATATAGTTTCTCTGGAAGGGATGGGTGTAATGATTTGTTCTGGTTATGACCTTGAAGTAATAAGTGACTGATGAAATAAGAAATTTTAAATGATTCTTAACTTGAACTACTTTTAACTGGCCTAACACTATCATTGGGAGATACATACCAATATTTTACTGACTGCCTTTCCAGAAGTTATAAATCTGACATTTTCAAGATGTACCCTAGATCTCCTAAACTGTTTGAAAGCCAATCAAGACGGTTTGCCTTTTTTTAATAAAATGGCCCATCATTAAAGATTTATCTGCAAAATACTTAAATAAGGACTTTTCTTGTTAAGGAAAACATTGAGTTCACATGGAATTTTATCTAGTGAAATCAAAGTGTAAGTCATGAATTTAGATAACTTAGAAGAAATCTCAATTATGCAAACAAATCATATGTAGTATAGAAAATAAAATGGGTAATAAAGAGATGAAGAGATAAGCATTCCTCCTTGTATACTTTCTTCCCCTTTCTCAAAGCTCACATTGAAAGTTCAGATGTGTAAAGACTAAAGACTTTAGTAAGTAAGCCATTAGTAAAGAAAACCTTTTTATCTTTGTCATATCCACTGTTTACCTACAAATTTATTTTATTATAGAATGCATTTTTCCATATAAAAGTAGATTTATTATTTTTATTATATAGTTAATGTGTGATCATTTGTAAAATGTGATAGTAATTCAGAGAGTTATTAACAAGAAAATGTTAACTCCTAAAGTAATTATTATAGTTCCATTCTGTCGGTGAACATTTAGGACTTTTTTGATAGATATATGTTAATATCACTCAAGGTATGAATGTTCTTTGGAACATAGATTAGGAGGAATGCTGGAGTAGAGAAGAAAGAATTCTGTATTTTAATTGATGTTTTATTGTTTTGAATAAGAGATGGCTCAGTTCACCTAAAGAAAATTGTCAGTAACAATAGCTAGCCAGTTTCGTGAACTGTGAGTATACAGTTACTCTTGGGTTTATGCCATTAGCAGAAAGCCTAAAGGGGCCCAAATCCCACTCTACTAGGAATAATTAAACATTAAGGAGTGAAAATTTGCTGTTTTAAGTCACTCCCTTAAGATCATGCTCTTAAGTCTTTATCTTCACGTGCTTATAACCTAGTCAAACAAGAGTGGGAAAGGCATTGGGCATGCTTGAGGCAGCCTTTTCTTCTGAAGCTTGGACTGTAATAATAGTGTTCTTAATTTTGGTTGGCTTTACTACTTTTATCTTTCAAGATTACAAAAAGAGACTGTTATCTGTATTTCTGTCTTTATTATAGTTAATTAGATTTTGTACAGCATTCATTACAATTAATACTGTTTAGTTAACATAGAACTTAACTGCATTTTGATATGTTTTCTCTGCTTTTCATTAGCTCCAACCACCGTGAATGTAACACATCGGCCAGTAACTCAGGTGACCACAAGACTCCCTGTACCGAGAGCGCCTGCAAACCACCAAGTGGTTTATACAACTCTCCCAGCACCACCAGCTCAGGCTCCCCTGCGAGGAACTGTTATGCAGGCTCCTGCTGTTCGGCAGGTCAATCCCCAAAACAGTAAGAGACTCTTTTCTTGTGTAGGGCCCCAAGTTATATGTAGTTCTTTAGCATTTAGTTGGCTTGTATTGACATTAGATTTGAGAAAAAATGCTTACAATATCATAACAAAACTAATATTAAGTTTTTCTTCCCTTTGGAGACTTAACCAGAAAAATTGGACGTGTATATTATATGATTTGTGCTCCAGGTGTTGTCTTCAATTTAACTGTATTTATGGTTTATACTCTCAAAATACTCTGTTTGATACTGGTCTGTACTCTGTTAAGAGATACATTGCCTGATTAAAGCGGGAATGATCAATTGTGGCTTGGCCCAGATAATGGAAATAATGGTAAAGAATAGCTTCCAATGAGAGAGTCTTAAAGATATGGATGGTGGCTGAGAAGTAAAAGATCAGAAAATGTTAAAGGAAATCTATTGTTTGCGTGCACATGCACACACACATGTGTTTATATACATACAGATACATATTTTATATATATATATTATATTTGGTAATAAAATATATTGTGCATATAGAGGTTTATATACAAAGCATATGTAAAGTTTATTATTATTTTTTTAATGTTTTTATTTTATTTTTCAGAGAGAGAGAGAGAGTATGAGCAGGGAAGGTGCAGAGAGAGGGGGCTGCAGAGGATCCAAAGCAGGCTCTGTGCTAACAGCAGCGAGCCAGATACAGGACTCAAACTCATGAACCATGAGGTCATGACCTGAGCCAAAGTTGGACGCTCAACTGACTGAACCACCCAGGCTTCCCAAAAAAGCAGCTTTATAAAATTTAATAACATGGGCATTTTTAAATGCTTTTTAAAGAAACTGTCATTATTATGTGATGATTTCCAGGAGAAAATAAACTAAGCAGAGTTTCTGGTTCACAGTTTGGGTTCAGTTTTCTCCAGCTTACAAGAGCTTTTTTGTGGGAAATCAGTACGGTCATGAATGAGTTCTGGGAAACTGCGCTCACCATAGTCAGGATGCCAGGCAGAACTATAGGATAGGCCAGGAACTGAGTATATGGCAGGAATGTGGTCCAGGCAGTAGGCAACTAAATTGTCTAACAGATATATTCAGAACAGTTCATCCTAAAGCAACAGAATGCACATTCTTTTTGAGTGCTCATGGAATGTTCTCCAGAATAGATCACATACTGGGTCACAAATCAGGCCTCAGCTAATGACTCAACTAATGTCTTAGATCACACTATGCATATTTTCAGACTACAATGCTATGAAACTTGAAGTCGACCACAAGAAAAAATTTGGAAACACCACAAATACATGGAGGTTAAAGAACACACTACTAAAGAATGAATGGGATAAACAGGAAATTAAAGAAGAAAAAAAATGCATGGAAGCAAATGAAAATGAAAGCACTACAGTCTAGAACCTTTGAGATGCAGCAAAAGTGGACGTAAGAGGGAAGTGCATAGCAATACAGGTCCACCTCAAGAAATAAGAAGTCTCAAATACACAACCTAACCTTATACCTAAAGGAGCTAGAAAAGGAACAGCAAATAAAGCCTAAAGGCAGCAGGAGAAAGGAACTAATAAAGATTATGGTAGAAATAAGTTATAGAGAAATAACAAGAAAAAAACTTCAGTAGAACAGATCAACAAAACTGAGAGCTGGTTCTTTGAAAGAATTAATAAAATTGTTAAACCCCTAGCCAGACTTATCGAAAAGAAAAGAGAAAGGACCCAAATAAATAAAATCACAAATGAAAGAGGAGAGATCACAACCAACAACACAGAAATACAATTATAAGATAATATGAAAAATCATATGCCAACAAACTGAGCAATTTGGAAGAAAGGGACAAAGCTCACAAACTACCAAAACTGAAACAGGAAGAAACAGAAAATTTGAACAGACCCATAACCAGCAAAGAAGTTGAATAACTAATCAAAAGTCTCCTAACAAACAAGAGTCCTGGGCCAGATGGCTTCCCAGGGGAATTCTTCCAGACATTTAAAGAAAAGTTAATACCTATTCTTCTCAAACTGTTCCAAAAAATAGAAATGGAAGGAAAACTTCCAAACTTGTTCTACAAGGCCACTATTACCTTGATTCCAAAACCAGACAAAGACTTCACTGAAAAAGAAAACTATAGGCAATATCCCTGGTTAACATGGATGTAAAAGTTCTCAATAAGATACTAGCAAATTGAATGCAACAGTACATTAAAAGAATCATTCACCACAATCAAGTGGGATTTATTCCTGAGCTGCAAGGGTGGTTCAATATTTGCAAATCAATGTGATATACCACTTTAATGAAAGAAAGGAGGGGCACCTGGGTGGCTCAGTCGGTTAAGCATCCGACTTCGGCTCAGGTCATGATCTCCCAGTTCATGAGTTCGGGCCCTGCATGGGGCTCTGTGTTGACGGCTCGGAGCCTGGAGCCTGCTTCGGATTCTGTGTCTCCTTCTTTCTCTGCCCCTCCTCTGCTCACACTCTGTCTCTCTGTCTCTCAAAAATGAATAAAACATTTTAAAAAAGAAAAGAAAGGATAAGAACCACACGATCCTGTCAATAGATGCAGAAAAAGCATTTGACAAAATACAGCATCCGTTCTTAATAAAAACCCTCAACAGAGCAGGGATCGAGGGAACATACCTCAATATCATAAAGGCCATATACAAAAGGCCCACAGCTAATACTATTCTCTATGGTCAGGAAAAAGACACGGGTTTCACTGTCACAAAAAGAAATAAAGGACATCTAAATTGGCAAAGAAGAAGTCCAATTTTCACTATTTGCAGACACCATGATACTCTATGTAGAAAACCCAAAAGACTACACCAAAAAAAATGCTAGAACTGATACATGAATTCAGCAGTCACAGGATATAAAATTGCTGTATGGAAACCTGTTGCATTTCTATACACGAATAATGAAGAAGCAGAAAGATAAATCAAGGAATCAATCCCATTTGCAACTGTACCAAAACCCACAAGATACCTAGGAATAAACCTAACTAAAGAGGTAAAACATCTGTACTCTGAAAACTGTAGAACACTTATGAAAGAAATTGAAGGGGACACAAAGAAATGGGAAAACATTCCATGCTCGTGGATTGGAAGAATGTCTATACTACTCAAAGCACTCTACACATTTAATGCAATCCCTATCAAAATACCATCAGCATTTTTCACAGAGCTAGAGCAAACAATCGTAAAATTTGTATGGAATCACAAAAGACCCTAAAGGGCCAAAGCAGTCTTGAAAAAGAAAAGCTAAACTGAAGGCATCACAATTCTGGACTTCAAGCTATATCACAAAGCTGTAGTCCTCAAGACAGGGTGATGCTAGCACAAAAACAGACACATTGGTCAATGGAATATAATAGAAAACCCAGAAATGGACCCACAAACTATACATGGTCAACTAATACTTGACAAAGCAGGAAAGACTATCCAATGGAAAAAAGACAGTCTTTTCAACAAATGGTGTTCAGAAAACTGGATAGCTACATGCAGAAGAATGAAACTGGATCACTTTCTTACACCACACACAAAAATAAATTCAAAATGGATCTAAGACCTGAGTATGAGACAGGAAGCCATCAAAATCCTAGAGGAGAAGACAGGCAGCAAACCTCTTTGGCCTCAGCCATGGCAACTTCTTACAGATACGTTTCTGGAGGCAGTAGAAACAAAAGCAAAGATGAACTATTGGGACTTCATCAAGATAAAAAGCTTCTGAACAGCAAAGGAAACAATTGACAAAACTGAAAGGCAGCCTACAGAATAGAATATACTTGCAAATGACGTATCTGATAAGGGTTAGTATCCAGGGGCGCCTGGGTGGCTCAGTTGGTTAAGCATCAGACTCTTAGCTCAGTTCAGATCTTGATGTCAGGGTTGTACAATCAAGCCCTGTGTCGGGTCCACACTGGGTATGAAGCCTACTTTAAAAAAAAAAAAAAAAGGTTAGTATCCAAAATCTATAAGAGCTTACCAAACTCACCACCCCGAAACAAATAGTCTAGTTAAGAAATGGGCAGAAGGCTTGAACAGACCTTTTTCCCAAGAAGACATCCAGGTGGCCAACAGACAACATGAAAAGATGCTCATCATCACTCATCAAAACCAGGATTAGATAGCACCTCATACCTGTTAACAACAAATATCGATCAGGATGTGGAAAAGGGGGAACCTTCTTACACTGTTGGTGGGAATGCAGACTGGTACGTCTACTCTGGAAAACAGTATGGAGGTTCCTCAAAAAGTTAAAAATAGAACTACCGTACAACCCAGCAATTGTACTACTAGATATTTACCCAAAGGATATAAACATACTGATTTGAAGGGGTAGCTACACCAATATTGATATTATTGGTTATCAATAGTAGCCAATTTGGCTATCAACAATAGCCAAACAGTGGAGAAGCCCAAATGTCCATCTCCTGATGAAAGGACAAAGAAGATGTGGTGTACGTGTGTGTGTACACACACACACACACACACACACACACACACACACACACACAGGAATATTACTCAGCCATCAAAAATAATGGAATCTTGCCATTTGCAACAACATGGAGGGGACTAGAGTGTATTATGCTAAGTGAAATAAGTCCAAGACAATTACCATATGATTTCACTCATGGAATTTAAGAAACAAAATGATTTACATATAGGGGAAGGGAAGAAAAGAGAGAGAGGCAAACCGTAAGAGACTCTTAACTATATAGAGAGCAAACTAAGGATTGCTGGAGGGGAGGTGGGTGGAGAATGGGCTAAATAGGTAAAGGGTATTAAGGAGGGCACTTGTTGTTATGAGCACTGGCTGTTATCTGTAAGTGATGAGTCACTAAATTCTATTCCCGAATCCAATATTATACTGTATATTAACTAACTAGAATTTAAGTAAACGCTTAAAAAAATAGTCTGCTTCTGTTACCATAATATATGTCAAAATAGTTTTCTGTTCAGTGAATTGAGTATCCTCAGCTGTTCAGCATGGCATGGACAGAAAGTGAGGGACCTCATTAATATACATCAGGGATAACTTACAGTTGAGATTTCTGTCCTAGTTGAAAAGATGAGACAGCAGAGATATTTTTGAAGACAGCTTCAATTTGTCCGCCATTAGAGTTACACTGCTCCGTTCTCGCTTTGCCTTCTACATGTGACATGCGACTGTGTTCTATTCTAGGGTTTTTTCTCATAGTCCTCTTGGTAGGGATTCCATTTATTTTTCTCCTGTGTTAGATCTCCTGTTTCCTGTATCTCCCATTTTCCTCCTTCTTGATTTTCTCTCTCATAATTGGTGGCACACGTCTTCGAAGGACAACTTGAGAAAGTAGTTTTTTTGGTTGCTTGCATATGGGAGAATTTCTTTCTCTTCATGTTCAATTAATTCTTCAGTTGAGTATAGGTTTCTAGGTTAGAAATATTTTTCCTTCCAAATTCTATAAACAACACTTTGCTGGCTTCAAGTGTTTAGTCAGCGTTTTACCAGATTTAGAATAGATTTCTAGTTTTATAAAAGCCTTAATTTTGTTCTGTAGGTGTCACAGTTCGAGTGCCTCAAGCAACTACATATGTTGTAAACAATGGACTAACCCTGGGATCAACAGGACCTCAGCTCACAGTGCATCACCGACCACCACAAGTGCATACTGTAAGTGTCGATGCTCATATTTCCAAAATGTTTACCTGTAGACCTGTCAAATATTATTGTAGTTTGCATTTATTCTTCAGGCAACAGAAGTTAATTTAAGAATATAGATCTTACCATTATGAACAAATTTTCTTAGGGATGTTGGTCATCAAGGATCATTGATTCTGCTTGTGGTGGTGTAAGTGTATAAGAAGAGTCCACAGCTGGTATATGTGAAGTGAAATAGAGCATTAAAAATTTTTTTTTATGTTTTTAATTTATTTTTGAAAGAGAGAGAGAGAGAGAGAAAGCATAGGAGGGACAGAGAGAGAGAGAAGGAGACACAGAATCCGAAGCAGGCTCCAGGCTCTGAGCTGTCAGCACAGAGCCCGACGCGGGGCTTGAACCCATGAACCACGAGATCATGACCTGAGCCGAAGTCGGACGCTTAACCGACTGAGTCACCCAGGCACCCCTGAAATAGAGCATTTTAAGCTCATGGTTAGGGGTGCCCAAGTGGCTCAGTCAGTTAAGCGTCTGACTTCAGCTCAGGTCATGATCTTGCGGTTCCTGAGTTTGAGCCCCACATCAGGACTCTGTGCTGACAGTGCGGAGCCTGGAGCCTGCTTCAGATTCTGTTTCTCCCTCTCTCTCCCCTCCCCCCACATGCGCTCTTCTCTCTCTCTCTCTCTAAAAAGTAAATAAACATTAAAATAAAAATTTAAAAAAACCTCATGGTTAAATTGAAAAGAGTATTTTTGAGTGTTTAAAGAGTATTTTAAAAAGTATTTTTTCTAACTTATTTTCTTCCTCAGAACCTTATATCAGTTCTAACTGGTATATTGCCATCACTTTATTGTTTTTTATTAATCCAGTGACATTGGGAATTCATTTATTAAGAGATGACATGGATCAAAGATGTCTCCTTAGATTTAGGCTCCAAAACAATGTCACAATCTTCTGTGACATGATTAGAACAGCATTTGGTATGGTACACCATGTAAATGGACATGTGGGCTTTATGAGAAGGGAGGAGATTGAGGCTTCATATCACTTTTCACCCAAGTGTCCTTTTTTAAGTATACATAATAACAGCTAGCATTTCTTGAGCACCTCCTCTGTGCCAGGCACTGTTAATATACTTGGTCCTCACTCAGCAATCCTTTAGGACTCTTCTCTCCTTTTTTATGCTTTATTATAGATAGGGCAGCTGATGCATAAAGATGTTGAATAACCAACCCAAGGTCATAACTCATGAAAACCCATGCATTCCAGTGTTAGAACCTATCCTCTTAACAGCTGTTATTTTTACTATTCCACTACAATGAAAAACTTAATGTTAACAGAGCACTAACTGTATACCAGGAGCTCTACCAAGCACTTTACATGTATTATTTTATTTAACATCCCTAGGTGTATTATTATTCTCCTTTGATAGGAAAGGGTAGAGTGTCACAAAGATGTTAAGTGGTTACTTAGGTTACTCAGGGTCATTACCCAAACTAATGTCAGAGCCATTTAAAAAAATTTTTTTTCAACGTTTATTTATTTTTGGGACAGAAAGAGACAGAGCATGAACGGGCGAGGGGCAGAGAGAGAGGGAGACACAGAATCGGAAACAGGCTCCAGGCTCTGAGCCATCAGCCCAGAGCCCAACGCGGGGCTCGAACTCACGGACCGCGAGATCGTGACCTGGCTGAAGTCGGACGCTTAACCGACTGCGCCACCCAGGCGCCCCTGTCAGAGCCATTTTAACTAAGGTTGTCTGATCCCAGCACCTGCAGTGTGTTTTCAGTGTTTCAAATCTGGCCCTGTTAGGATATGTGGTGAATATACCATTACTGTTGTTTGCAGCTACAAATAACTTCTTTCATTCCATGTTTCTTCAGAAACTATATAGTAAATATCTCTAATACCTTATAGTTTGCAAATTTGATGACCCATCAAGAGCTTTTTTTTTTTTGGTCAAGAACATTTTTTAAAAACCAGGAGCCCATGGGGCGCCTGGGTGGCTCAGTCGGTTGAGTGTCCAACTTTGGCTCAGGTCATGATCTTACGGGTAGTGAGTTGGAGCCCTGCGTCAGGCTCTGTGCTGACAGCTCGGAGCCTGGAGCCTGCTTCAGATTCTGTGTCTCCCTCTCTCTCTGCCCCTCTGTCTCTGTCTCAAGAAGAAAAAAACAAACAAACAAACAAAAAAACACTAAAAAAACCCACAAAAACAGGAGCCCATGTGTATTGTCTTAGTAGAATAAACTGTATCTTACAGGAGGAACATTCTTTTATTTTAATTAATTTAGAAGATGGTTTTAAATAAGAATTTCAAATATATATAAAAATAGTATACTATACTGATTCCTACTTTCCCATCACTCATCTTAACACTTGTCAGCGTATGGCTAATCTTTTTCATCTGTATTCACCCATTTATTCCAGCAACCCAAATATATACTGGATTATTTTGAAGCAAATCCCTATCGTATCATTTCATTTGTAAAACTTGAATAAAAATCTCCATTGCAGTGGCAAGAATAAAAAAGACAAAACTCAGTTGACTTAATATTAAGTTTTAAGATATGAGCAGATTCAGACTCTTAGAATTTTAAGAATTAGAAGGTATATAACAGCTATTAAAGCTGTTGTCAGACTCGTCAAATTCCTCCTACCTTCAGTTAGATTCATGGCTTCAGCCATCTTCTCTTAGATCTTGCTGGCTATATGTTTATTTAGTGTTATTTACTTATGTGATTAAATTATTTGAGGAAAAAAGACAATTTGAAAGAGAAAATATAGCAACATGGCCAGTATTTAAATCACTTCTACTTCTCCAACTTTCAGTGTTTTATTTAAATTTTATTCTTTTCCCTTCTGACTTTATGTTTATTTTAGCTTTTTAACTGTGAATTGTATCCTTTTCCAGATGTGTATATGAATGTTTTCCACCAGGCATATGAATTTAAGCAGATTTGTATTCCTTGAAATTATCCTTTTTGAGTTCTTCCTATGTGCACATTACTGCTACTAAGCTTTGACAAGGGATAGAGATTAAAAAGATACCAGACCTTCACAGAATTCACTATTTAGTGTATATAAATTATCCATTTTATGAAATGCGTATTAAAACACAGTTCTTGTGAAATGAATTTCAGTTAAGGAAATCTTTGTTTCAGACTTTCAGCCTAAAGTCAGTGAGCAGTGATATGTTTCACTTGGGAAAAAAAGATCACTGGTATCCCTGTTTCCTGGTTTACACTTGAATCTTTTTTGAAAAAATTATTATCATTGTAATCTTTATTAAAATCTAGATATAATGATAACAATGCCCAGTGTTAAACAAGTCAATTTGAATTGGTCCACTTAATAGTCACGCTTTTTCATATGGCCTTAACAGCTACCTTTTCAAATTTATCTTTTTTATTCATACACCCTATTTCTAAGTAAAAGTTAATGTTTGTTTTTGCCCCTAAATCCCTTTACTTTCCTATCCCTTATTTATGCTTTACCTATTGGCAGAAAAGAACATGGCTCTTCCTGCATTTCTAAATCTTACTGTTCTTAGTGCACTTTAAATGTCACCATTTTTGTGCAGACTGACCAAGAACATAATATACATTCAGCATTAAATGTGCTTATTCATGGTATGCTACTGTCTTTAGATAGAAAAATGGCCTAAAAATAAAAGTAGAGTTAAATACTCAAATTATTTACTATAGACTGTATCATAACACGTGATATTTTAAAATGTTATATTATTCTAAAATAAGAATCTGTAACATAGGTAAACATAAATTATTTTGTTCAAGATAGATGATTATTTTAGCTTCTATCAAAATGATGTTCCATTAGCAAAGGCTTTTATTTCCTGAGGAAAGCGCAATTTTTTTAGATGTAGAAAGTATACAGGAGTAACCTCAGCAGCATTGTTTATGGCATGATTGGTTACAAATCACCAAATAGGACTAGCCATATGTGCCATAGTATATGGTATTTCTTGGTATTCTTTTAAAAATTTTTTTTTCAACGTTTATTTATTTTTGGGACAGAGAGAGACAGAGCATGAACGGGGGAGGGGCAGAGAGAGAGGGAGACACAGAATTGGAAACAGGCTCCAGGCTCCGAGCCATCAGCCCAGAGTCTGACGCGGGGCTCGAACTCACGGACCGCGAGATCGTGACCTGGCTGAAGTCGGACGCTTAACCGACTGCGCCACCCAGGCGCCCCATTGGTATTCTTGATATAAAATGATATTTCTCTAAATGACCTCTAAGATGTTTTAGTTGTAGCATTCAGAAATAGTCCTTTCTGTAATCATTATTAAGTCAACATGACTCTTTTTTTGTTAGGAGCCCCCCCGCCCTGTGCACCCAGCACCCTTACCAGAAGCCCCACAGCCACAGCGTCTGCCCCCAGAAGCTGCCAGCACATCTCTGCCTCAGAAGCCACACTTGAAGTTAGCACGAGTTCAGAGTCAAAACGGCATTGTACTGTCATGGAGTGTCCTGGAGGTAGATCGAAGCTGTGCCACTGTGGACAGCTATCATCTCTATGCTTACCATGAGGAACCCAGTGCCACTGTGCCCTCACAATGGAAAAAGATTGGAGAAGTAAAGGCACTTCCCTTGCCCATGGCATGCACTCTCACCCAGTTTGTATCTGGCAGCAAATACTACTTTGCAGTACGAGCCAAGGATATTTATGGACGTTTTGGACCTTTCTGTGATCCTCAGTCAACAGATGTGATCTCTTCTTCCCAGAGCAGTTAAACCTTGGAGCCTCTATCTCTTCCTCTTTCTGACTTCCACTTTTTGGTCTTGTTTTAATCTTGTGCATGATATCCATTGTAAAATCCACATTGTGCAAGATTTCTTGGACAGCTGTGTATATACACTACATTTGTTTATAATCAGAAGTAAAATAAACAGCCCATAAAGCAAGAATCTTCTCCTGGACAATTGAAGCTTCAAGGTTTTGAAATGTAAATGTGCACCTTGCTTTAGTATTAAGGCTGGGGAATATGTGTGGGTGTTTATGTGTGTTTTTCCCTATTTATATGTTTACTGCGGTGGAACCTCCTATTTCCATTCTCAATTTTACCTCTCTTCAGGTATTAAGTAAGTAGATCGAGGGATCAGAAGTATGGTATGTAACTGGCATGATTCTACTTCTAAGGGATCTGTAGGTTCATGGTTAAATGATTTAAACTGAATCTAAACAAAACCCAAAGAAAGAAAGAAAAAGAAAAATGGTGAAATAGTTTAAAATAGGTTCATTTGAACACAGGAAAGGATCTGTTTGTCTTTTTTCTTTTGTTGGTTGTTCATTAGGTAAAAAAGATCTGCAGTGGCCCCTCTCTTTCCTAATCTGACTCTTACATTTATTTTGTGCCTTAGAGATTAACTACAAAAATAAACATGACCATTTGTCCATTGTTGATCTTCTCTTTCAGGCTTTCGCCCTTCATTTCTCCTTCATCTCCACTAAATATAGCACACCTCCCCTCAAGTCACTTTTAAACCAATCCTTTTAGGTATATTCTTATCAGTGGCATCACTACATTTAACTCCCCAAATTTGACTTGCTCTTTTCTTCTAATAATGTAAGTGCTTTTATCTTTGGTCACTATTTAAATTAACTGTGTAAAATGGACCAAGAAAGACCATATTATGTAAGAAAATTGTTCTTCAAACATATTTTAGGATTTATGTTGCATACTGTGTTAGAGATTATAAAAGCAGTGTTAGTTCTCTTTATCACTCGAAGCATAGTATTCTTTCAAATGTAGTAAAGAATAAAATTCACAAAGTACAGTGAACTAAAATATCAAAGGGAAAGCTTTATTTCCTCATTGTCATATCATTCTTTCTGTTTTAATCTTTTAACTTTATTTTGATGGTGCCAAGTTTTGTCTGATTTACCCTCTGTCAGCTTTAGATAGGATTTGGGGTTATTTTATTTAACAGTTAGGTATAACTTTCTGTGTCTCTCTGTTCCTGTTCAAAGTTAATCAAATTCATTTTAGGTCCTGGACTTTCAGTATGAGTGCCAGCTCTCCTGGTTTCAGGTAGGTGTTTGAGGGTAGATAGTTTAGGGTAGGAGAAATAGGGTAAGTTTGGGGATGAGAGAGAATGATTGGGAATAGTGTGAAAGGAATTCATGGAGTTTGTCAAATAGTTTTTCAAGTCATCTTCCCTTACCTTATTTAAATTCCTACCTTCTCAAAATAAATTCATCTTTAGTTTTCCCTGGAATTATAGGAGGGAGGTATTCCTTCTGTGAATGCTGCTTTGTTTGCAACTTTGATGGCTTGTAATGAGAAGCATTCTAGTTGTAAAACTCTCATTAGAGACTTTCACTGGTCAGTGTACTGTCACATTAGGTGTGAAGTTTGATGCTGAAGAAAGTCTACAGATTGCCAAAATTGTAAATGTTCCAAACCTTCCTTTCACTTTCAGAAAATGAGACCACAATGAGAATTAAAGTTTTTATCAATCAGGTTTACCAAGCATGTAGATGTTACTCATTCTAGGACTGATGGTGGTAAAGAAGTTGCCAGTGTCATGCCAATCAAAATTCTGAAAGGGAGAATTTGATGATCTTCTAGATGTGTATGAACACCTATCTATATCTGCATGTATATATGTTTTTACCTGCAATGGTTGCATTGTTGATTATGTGATCAAGATCATTCCTGTCTGCAGAATGGAAGGCCCATGTTCAAAATTGTTCTTTATTGGCCAGTTTATGCTCATGTGATGACAATTTGCCCTAGCCTAGAAAAGCTTCCCTTGGTGAATTTTTTTATTTATATTCACTAATCTTTTTTTTTTTTTTAAAGCTTTCATAGCATTATGTAATCAGGCAAAGAAGCCCAGTAGAATGAAAGTATTTTAGCCTATATTGTGTGTTTTCTGTCAAAGGAAGAAATAATAAATTACCAAACAGTAACCCTAAAAATATATTTACTACAGCAAAATCAAACTTTTTATTCCAGAAGGTGGAAGGAAGGAAGCTACAAAGAGAGACTAATTATTTGAGGAAAGCGTTTATTATGAGATGCTTTCCTCAGATTAGCCTGCCATGGATTTATAGGCAACATCTATATTGAATTTACTGAAAAATGCTAGGCTTAGAACTGTTGGCTTTTATTTTGGGCAGGTTTTAATGTTGATGAGCTGCCTTTCTGTTTGGTTCATTTCTTTTGGGAGAAAGAAAGGAGGACTCAACTAGAAATAGCTACTGATTACAGACCATATTGTAGCAATTCACACTCCATGGTACCTTTTTTATTTCATGGTACCTTTTCACAAAGTATTACAGATAAGTTTGATTATCCCATTTTGGGAATGCAAGTTTGCTGCATTTTTAGCTGGACAATACTTGTCTAAGTGCTGCCTTATTGGAAATTCTGAAAACTTCTGATATATTGACCTGAAATGTAGGGTGTTCATATGGCTTTTAAAAAGTAAGTGATGTTTGTTACTCTCTGTTTTGCACTTTGTCAGAGTAACTTTCACCCTGTTTTAAGTGTAAGCCTCATTTAAAAATTATGTTCTTGCCAGTAAATTTATAAATTACCAAGACAACATCTGTTGTTAGCTGTTAACTTTATGAGGTAACTATATCCCTGTTTCTTTGGACTCACTTTAAAATATGCAGAATACTGTTTAACACAGTAGACGTTTATGAGAGAAGTGAGGGCATACAGCTTTCTTCCTTGAAAAGTGAGTATTTATTGGCATGTCATTTGCCTCACAGAGAGTGTTCCCCACTCACCCTACCCCGATTGCTGGATAATAAATAAAAGGTTTAAATGAAAAACGTGACCTAAAGCAAGGAGCTTAGAATCTTTGGTACATCTGTCTGCAAATTCCTTAGGTGGGCTGCACTATACAGTTCTCTTACTGTATTGGGAAAGTGTTAACTTAGTTTTTGTCGTTTGCTCTTTTGCTTACATTTTCCAAATTATCATTTATGCAGCCAGGTGAATGTTAATATTGCATGATATGCACTTATCTTGTTCCACGAATTTTCCAGTACTGTACAAAATTAACAAAATAATGCCTGTGGTATCTTCTCTTACTTTGATATTTGATACACTGTGATTTTAGCACAGTAGAGTACTGAAAAGACCTTCCAAGTGTTCTCCCCAACTTTCCTTCTTGGGCTATTTCAGTATCATATGAGTTATATGTTATTTTAATTCCATCATTGACCAGTCATTGGCCTATTTTATTCTAATTTCCAGAAAAAAACATGCCCCAAATTTGGATTGTTGGAAATAAGTCTCTCTAAAAGCAATGTATGATTTTTCCTTCCTTACTATTTACTGGGTGGGTGATGCCCCTCTCCCACTTTTTAAAATTTTTGGACAAACAAAAAGAACAGGTGTTTTGTTAGTGTGACAGACGTAGATCTAATTCCTAAAACATATTCCCCTTCAGCCAGCCAATGGGGAGGAAAGGATGATAAAACACACGTTTTGTCTTCTCATCTTCAAATAGTTTTATCATGTTACGTAAGTTTCTTTATTATTATTATTTTTTTAATTTGTAGAGTCAGCTAAGTACCCATCATTTATATTTAAATGCTGAGGGGGGGGGTTGTTTTTGTTTGGTTTTTGGTTTTTTTTTTTTTTACTTTTTGTACATAAGGTAACTGGGCAATCAAACACCTTTTGGGGGATCCTGGCTTTATTATTTTCTCAGCCATTTCAAAATTACATATAAAAGAAAATCTTTTGTAGGAAACTTGCATCCTGATTTTTCTTTATTGCAGGTGAAAGTGTAAATAGTAAGACAATGTTTAAGACCTTCCTAATGTCTAATATAAACTGGGCTATAGCAAGTTGCCCTATTTTTATTAGGTTTTGAAGGTTTTTGTGTTTTTTTTTTTCTTTTTTAAATGTACAGTAGAGTGGTGTCTGTATAAGTGTTAACTGTAGTGGGATTTTGTCCAGCAAGCCTGACATTTATACTTTGAAATAAACTACTGGGTTTTTAACATTCTGAGTATTCTGATTCATTGTAATTATTCTCAGCCCTTGTGTTGCTTTTGGAAGTTCTCACCTTATTAAGAATCACCCATTATACTGTGTAATATTGTTTATTTAACCTACTTGGCAATATTTCAGCACTCAAACCACATACAGTTCTCTAGCTTTGAAAGAAAAACTGCTCTATACAGTTTTGCTCCCAGATTAGATATGCTGCTTTTAACTAGTGGGAGAAAACATTAAGGTCATATTGTGTGCCTAGTCTGCACCATGAAGAATCAGCTGGTGCTTATTAATGATCAGAAAAATCACTAACTGCATTTGCATTAGAGGTTCCTTTGAAAATGCAGTTCCACCATCCCCTAGGGCTTGCCCTTAAGTATATCCAGCCAGGGGAAGGAGAAAGAGCATGGAAGAGTACAGGTTTTTAGGGGCCGAGCCCAGAAATGACACTAATTTTGGACTCCTTTGGCAAGAACCCTGTCACATGGCACAACTATCTAGGGGAACCTGGGTGATGTGTTCTGTGTGGCCAGGCATAAAAGGAGAATATGGATCTGGCTGAGCAGTTTCTGCCATACTGTCCTGTATATAAACTTGTATGCTGAAGCCAGTTACTTATCTTCTAGAATATTTCCTCTACACTCTGTCACCCTATAGTGCATGTTTGTTGCCAAAACCTACAAAATCAATAGTAGAAAATAAAAGTGACAGACTGAATTTAATATATTTTATTAAGATTAATTCTGAATGGAAAAAACATAGCTAAAATAGTGCATTTGGAATCTTATTTGCGACCTTCTATTCCCTTCTATTCCCTCAAATCCCTCCTTCATTTTATGTCCTGTTTCAAAATTGGTTTCATGATAATAAAATCAAAGTTGTAGGTCTCTGGCATGCCCTGGTGGAGAGTTTTGTTGAAACGGTTCCAGTGAAAAACAGGGAGGCCATCTTGTACTGTGGGACCACTGATGGCATGGGCTGTGTACGCTGATGCTAGGTAGATATCGGCCACCTGGAAAGGGAAAGGAGAGGGACATTTTAGAAAAAACCATTTGGAAAAAAATTCACTAAATCCCCGTTTTTTCCTTTTTTTGTCTTTGTCCTTTTTTTCCAGTCACATTAGCCCCCCCTTTTAAAACAAAATCCTGCAAGCTCCCACAATATGCTCTTCCATAACCATTTGGCGTTCCAATGTGAATTGAGCAGAAGTGCATTAGGTTAACGTAGCCAAAAGTTGAGGTCTGGAGTCAAAGTGCTCATATTCAGAATTCTAGCTCCAAAACTTATTTTAAAATAACCACTATTTGGCTCAGTTTTCTCATTTGCAAAAGGGTAATAACCCAACCTCTTGGAGGGGTTGTCAGAAGGAGTTAAGGAGCAGTTTATGTGAAGCAGAATGTAGGCTTCAATAAAAGTTGTTATTAGGGCAGTAACGAGTTTTAAAGTAGAAGGAACTCTATTAAAATAGGAGGTCTGTGGTTCTCAAAAGCACCTAAACATTGGATAGCACCAGATCTTAACCTCAGAGAAAAAGGAAGAACATGTCTCCTAACTTCTGATTTTCCACATATTCAAAATGGCTCAAGAAAAATGCTAATAAATTAAGTATATCCTTTAGCAGAAACTCTTCTGATGAAAAATCAGCAGACTCCTCTCTCCAGAAGAAAGTAAATTTGGCAGATGGAGGCTTGGCTTGGGTTCTCTCAGGCAAGGCAGCAGACGTGATTCTCTTTGTGTATTCGGGAATGGTTAGAACACTTCTTGCACACTTTACTGAATGTTTGCAAATACCATTAAAAAGAAATAAACATTCACTGGGGTTTCATGTGTGCCAGGCTCTCTATACCCACTAATTTTTTTTTCAACTTTACACAACATATTTACTTTACACATCATTAAGACTAGAGCTTTCCTGTAGCTAAAAAGTAGCTTGAGTAGGAACAAGACTACTCTGAAGCCTATGAGGCAAGTACTATTATTATGCCCATCTTCCAGATAAGGAAACAAGCATTACAAGATGGTGGAATTTACTATTATTTGGCAGAGGAGGGCCTTGAAGTTAGGCAATGGGACCTACTATCAGAATCTCTTAAAAAGCTGACTCCTGAATTGACTTTATGGTCAGAGACAGTATTGTGCTTTATGCCGCAGAAGTCCCTGCAGCTTTGCCTTTGAATAGGTTTATGTGCTGGTGAAAATTAAATTCAAAAGCCAATAAGCATGTTACCTTCGTGTCATAGCAACCTCCAGGACTTGGGTTAAGTGAGTTCAGGTCCTCACGGCAGCAGATGGTATTGCAGGGATCGCCCTTACTGTAAGGATCCTTTTTATAATCTAGAAAACAGTGATGGGGAAAAGGGTGAGTACTGGCTATTCGGAGATACACCTACCCCCTGGTAAGCTTTTTGGACCTGCTGAAGTATATAGATGATCAGAGAGTATACTCCAGTGGCCTCTTTGACCTAGTCTGCTCTCAAGAAACTTGCACGGTGAAGAGTTGACAGAAGAGAGGTAATAAAGGAGAAATGTGCATCAATGTTTTTCTACAAAATAAATACAAATTTGATGCTGTTCATCACAAATAAAGTATTCATGAATAATTTTTGTTTTATTAGCTGCTTTTGTCCTTGGAAGAAAACCTGAGTTAGGGTTGGGGTGCGGGGGGGAGTGGTAAAAAGAAAGTACACTGTATGAGTTATTCTGTGTTTTACATATTTTTTCCCAGTTAAAAAAACATGTAGAATCTTTTTCCCGTCATTTTATAAAATAGGACAAAATTCTATTTGTTCAGAATAAAATATGTATATTATTGATTGAATACTGAATACTTAACTTCTTATAATTCCTCCTAGTACAGAGATGGATTCTTTACATGGGGAAACTTACATGGATTCTTTATCCCTTTGGAAGAAAAGGAGTTTTGAAGAATGATTCTTGAGAAATGTGCTACGTACTGTTGTATCGCATGATATATTTCATGGATGCCATATCAGTCACTTTCCCTTGGTCACGCCGGAAGATTTTGGCTCGTGAAGCCATATCATAGGAGTACTCCAAACCCAGCTTCTGAACTAACATTGGATAGCCACTCCAGTTGTAGATCTTTTCATGGAAAGGAATGTTGTAGGAGGGCCAATATCCTGATTTGGAATGGAAAGGAAGCAGGGAGACAGACAGAAAAGAGAGATGGGACAAAATAGATGTTATTAGTGATAGTTTCTTTTGAAAATTGGCACAGGTGTGTGATTACAAAATGATATTATAAAGAAAATTAAACTTTGAATGTGAACACTGGCCTTCACACTGGATCCTTTTAAATTTACAGAATCAGTATACTTCTAGATTGTTCCATTAGGCAAAGAAGAGCATCAGAATTCTTTGTTTCTCACTCAAAATTCTTAAAGCAATCTGTTAACCAGAAAATAACTTTATTATCTATAGAGCAAAATGAAGCATAACACAGAGTGGTCTGGGGGAATTGGTTTAAGTTGGTTTAGGTTAGTTACTGAAATGCCAAAAGATGGTTTCACAATGTGGCCCCACCAGGGAACAGGCCAGATGCGAATCATGGGATAGTGGAAGAACACAGT